AACAGAGATTTGGAGGCTGGCACGGCCGAAGCCGCACCTAGGCGTGCCGCCAACACCCGTCTCGGATCCCACACTATGCTAGGAGTGCCATAAAGACCACATTAAAAAAGGAACCATTGCAGCATGACTCTCAGACCGCCTCCCGTGAAGGAGGAGGTCCAAGGTACCCCGTCAGTTGGCAACCTTCCAAGCCACGGCTTTTAGCGCACCGTGATAGCTTCAAACGCGTCAGATAGTTTATAGTGAGGAGAAAGGGCGCTGAGTCGTTGACCTCACTCTCCCTTCCCATTTCCACACCCCAACCGCTGTCCGAGCCGGTCAGCAGACTGGAGTGGGAAATGGGCGCGGTGGCTGACACGGTCGACTGACCATGCTTGCGCGCGCCACAGCACGACCTGGCCCCCCATACACACACAAACACCAGGATTTCACACAACGGGGGTTGATCGGCGTGTCTCTCGCTTGCGTGAGGGGGCCGTGGAAGGTGCTGTTTCAGCCCGTCCTCAGCTCACCAGTCCGCCATTCCACACAATACACACACACACACACACAACGGGACGGACTGCGTGAACCGAGAGCGGGCGTAAATCAGCAACCCTCCTATCCACGACGATTGACGTGTTGGGATAGTCTCAGGCTTAAGTCACCCCTGCAGCCGAAGCCGCATGGGGACCGAGTCGAGATGCACACTTCCCACTTGCGTGGAAGTTGAGAGTTGGGTGGTTGCGATGAGTGAGTTTTGATGTGTTTCCGGGTGATGGTGGACGAAGGAAGGGAGTGCGGGAATTTGTGATGTAACCGGCGGTTGTCTACCGCAGGTCGTCGTGGATGCGCAGAGCCCAGCTACGTGTAACCACAAGTTAAAGTTGAGTGCCAGAAAATGGACGCTAGGCATAGTCTCACCTCCAAGCAAGTGAGCGACCACCACGACCATCACGTGAACCCACCGCTGACACCCCTACACCCCCCACACTCACACACACACACGACAGTACGACCATCGATTTCGATGATGTCCAAGGTATGCTCCACTGACTGCATTGTGGGGAAGGGACGGTGACTTACGCAGGGGTTTATAGTGCCAGTAGACTTGCGTATCATCTACCTACACTCTCTCCTCCTCCGCCGCCTGGGCCCGGTGTCAAGACCAAGTCAAGAAGACCGGAGACGGGAGAGGCCGCTGGTGGATGGCTCGGACGGATCCTCGCCTTGGTGGTCCACTCCGCACCCCCTGGTCCCCACACAAATGACCAAGATTTTGACAACAAAACAATGGGGTGATGGCAGTGGTCCAGTTGTGCGACGATTGCCGACAACAGTGTCTGCCAGCGCACCCCGCAAATGTTGGCATTTGTTATTGCGCACAGATAACGCCTGTCAGAGTCCGATGTGGCCCCTGTGTTGGTCCAGCGCATCTAACACGCGGCCAGTCTGCTTTTCGCTCGGCCGAGCACTTGGGAGCCGTAAAAGTCAAATCGATTGTTATTTTACAGACTATGGCGCCGTGTGAGCGTACATCTTTTTGCTTGACGGCTAAAGTGCGCTCATGCACGCGCTTTTTCAGTCGTTTAGTTGCCAGGCCGCCGTAGCTGACCTGATAGTCTAGACATTTAAGAAACTAGATGACGTCCCACGTCCTCAGGGGGCAGCTTATCCCAAGGCTGCATTATCAATCGGCGGATAGTGGTCTCCGGTCGGTGTCGAAAGCCCCCGTTGAGTGGTCTTATCATACGCTCAGTGGCCTCTCAGAGACGTTTCACATGTACGTCAACACGCGGAGTAACTCAGGTTTTTGGTTCGGTTCACCGTATGCCTTTGGAACATGCATTTGTTTGCATAGCAACGTGGATATCCATGGAACGGGAAGAGGTGCAACAGGGACGCCGGCTCTTGTAGCTTATCGGCCTCTGTGCTGCAGTGCGTGTTTATGCGGCGAAAAGGTGTCCGGCGGCAACTGCGTTTATGCGAGAAGGGGTGGTTGCTGTTTAGCTGTAGTTTTTTCTCTGTGTCTGTAGCTTTTCGGAAAACACTGGTCTGGCGGGCTCAATTTTCCCGCTTCGATACTCGCACGTCGAGGAGAGGTAGCGCCCTGTCCTTTTCTTCCTCCAATGTGGATTTGTGGAATGAAGAAGTGCGATTCTCTTAAAGGCCTGCTTTGCATCTCGGTGTGGGAGTAGTACTATACTACTAGCTGCCTTTTGGCAGTTAATGAATATAACGCACCTATCCGCTGCGGTTGACGGACTTCGGCCCAAATACGCATGCGTAAAATTCTCGGTCTTTGCCTAAAGACCATGAATAGACTGATCTACTCCAAGTTCGTAGATAATTTCCGAGGAAATGAAAGAGCCAAAACTGTATCGTCCGAATAGGGCACCCAAAATTGTGGCTTATAGGGCCGAAATACACGAGTTTCCAGTTCTTGCAGAACCGTCTTTACAAGATAGCTGGAGGTCGGGAATTCCATCGAGTGTGCCTCCTAAGGGAAAGAGGTGAAGAAGGAGATGACGTCAAAGGATACCATGATCTCATCGTGGGCTATTGTCACACATCGGAATTTTGGTGACAAATACGAACAATAATTTGTAGGCACCCCAATGAGATCATAAATATTTGAGCTGCTTGCAAATCTAGTGTGGCGGCGACTATAGCAGCGTGTTATTAAAACCGAAAATTTGCCTTTGTTACGTAGATGACAAATTTGTCATCATCAAAACCAGCGAACTTGAGCGATTGCACCAGAACTTAAATAGCGTCTTCATGGTTATATAGTTTACTTGCGAAGAGGCAACGGGAGATACCCTCCCTTTTTAGATGTGAGTATGCAAATACTTAGCGATGCAAACTGGGAACAAACGTCCACCTAAAAGTCTAGTGTCGAAATCGTCCTAAAATTTGGGTGCAATCATCCTGAGACCCATATAAAAGCTTTGTTCGCACTCTTTTCCATCGAACTGACCGTGTCTTTAAAAGTGATGAATTGATAAATGACTGGCCTACTTACATCGGCTATTCCGCGCCAACGGATACACGGCCAGCTTTGTAGAAAAATTTCTCAGATGCCAAAGACAACCCCGAAGTCCCGATTCTAAAGAAGATCGTGTGCCGCGGAAATTCTATTCACTGCTGTACATTCAAATAATTTCTGAAACACTCTGCCGATAATTAACACGCTTTGTCATCTTAATCGCATACAAGTCCCCATCTTCGCTTCGCGTATTATTATGCAGAATAAAAGACCTGGTTTCCAAAGACCAACTGACTAACGTCATCTGCCGCATCTCGTGCGCCAACTGTTTTAGTGTTCATATTGGCCATACGGGCCGAAGTCTTTAGACTAGCACTAATGAGCACAAGTCAGTTCCACCGCCGACGTGACCCTCTGTCCATGCTATTGGCACACGCCCTTGAGTATGGCCAATGATTCAATTGGGACGCTACTGAAGTGATTGTAGTGGCTAACACCAGACGGGCGCGGGAATTACTCGAAGCTTGGCATTCTGATACGACCAGCACCAACCGCCACGTCGATAGAGACGCGCACTGCGAGGGTTTACTTACGTGCTCACTGACTTGTTCCCACGTCCTAAACACTGCTAATCTCTGCTCGGCTACTTATGATTTTGCAGTCTCGCCACCCCACCCTTGGGACACAGCGAACGATAACCAAAACTTCCAAAACCTTTAACGTCGGCACACTGTCCCCTGGCCTCATCCCGCGTCAATTACCGGCCACCTGCATTCCCACTGATCTGCAATTTCGCAACCCCTGCCTCACCTCCAACACGGAGATCCCAAACGGTTCTCCCTTCCCCCCGCCCCAACGCTAACGGTGTCCACCACTCTCACGCATCGGCTGCCACTCTGTCAATACGAGCAAATATGCAAGTTCCAGGAACGAGTTGATAAGAAATAGACGCGCTCGCTGTAACAAGAGCTTTATTGGCCTGACGTTTCGGATTTTTGCTCGAACCCATCATTAGAGAGAGTGACTGAAACAAGTTATTCGCGCACAGGTAGTTACAGTACGTATGGTATGCAGTCACTATCCTATTGCACACTTATGCTAATTAACTGCTCTCCCCTTCGTCATGAATTGTTGCCCGCCGGTGCGCTAATGTCTTGACGGCCGGCATGCAAGATGCTAATTGCTGAAATAGCATCATCCGTGATAGATACTGGCGTAATAATTGCTCGGCCATCTGGCGCACTGGCCTGCGCGCCCCCGGAGTGGATAATTACTTTGGCCAGCCTATGCCTCGGCACGGAATATGGAGTGGGGATATCGTTGCACTTGTTGACGGACTGAGGTCCCAAGAGCCATGACTCAAGCAACACACGGCTCACGTGATTGTCTCCTCTCGTGAGAGTTTCGGCCTCATCGAGTTTGAACGTGTGGCCTGATCACGTCGAATGAGCCGCAACTTGAGAGCTGGCGTAATTTCTCCGCACCGCTTCCGCGTGTTCGGCAAATGGCGTTCGGAGCAGTCTTCCACATTCTCCGAATTAACTACTTTGCTCGTAACTGCACCAGACTAAAGAAGCTTCTTGCCATGAAAGTGGGCCTTTTGGTCTCGTCTTCTGACCCTCTATTGTGGTTTCCCATCTTTGTGTGACTTCGACCCCAAGGGGAGCGAGAAGGCGACTGACGGCCTCGGAGACCTTCTTGATGTACTAAATAGCTCGTCAAGATATAGAATCGCTGTGATTATTTCGCTCGTCTCGTTTGCACAATCACAGGTTGACGAAGTTGCGCGCGTAAATATTTTCTCTGTAAACATCTTGAAGTTAATGCAATTCGGCAAACTTTTCTTTCGGTACGTTGCATTGCGTTTCCACACGCTCATATAGCGTCCATACACAACCGCCTTTTTTGCTGATTGGGTGGTTGCTAGTGAAGTTAATATTTGCGTCTTATCTATCGCCACTAAAAGATTCGTAGCAGCCAAGGGCAACCAGGAAGGCCAGCTGATTGTTCTCTTCCTCTTACATCGTTAAATCTATTCCAGGAAGACCGTATTCAGAGGTTCCTTGAATGTCACCAATTGGTTCCGGTCGATAAAGACGAAGGTATCATCCACACACAGGTCCCAGAACTTCGGTCTGTGGTGCTGGAAGACCAGCGACCCTAACCGTTCCAGGGTCGCCTCGGAGATGAATCCCAAAATCGGCGAAGGCATTGGTGTGCCCTTCACCCGTTCGCAAATTGCCCCGTCGAAGTTAAAGGTACGTTCTCTGACAGAACTTCAGGTGCTGAAGGACTTGGGCCTACCCATCACAATTCTCCTTGTCACGGTATTTGCCTTGTACGAGTAGCTCTACGGTCTCGATTGCCAGATCCTGGGGTAGAAAAGTATAAGGGGACAAGACATCAAAAGATACCATGACGTCGTGTGGCAAGAGACTTACATCGTCAGGCTACTGAAATAAATGGGTTGATAAGCAGACCGTGGTGTCCGGATCAGCTGTCAAAAATTTGAGACGCCGGAATATTCCCTTATCTAATCCGTACCTTAGAATGCCTTTGAGCGACACGATGGGTCGAAGAGAAGCGACCTCTTTGTGCACATTAGGGAGGCCATAGAATCGGGCCAAAGTCGTATCTTTGGGTCTCGCCGTGCGTCTTTCAGTCGGTGTTATCGCACCTGGGTTCTCCAAGGTCAACAACGTAGCATTAGTCGCGCCTGTCAGCGCTTTTACAATGTTCGTTGCACATGGGACATACAATTGGTAGAGGGGGCGCTCACCGATCGTTCTTACGGAACTCACTCCTTCCATTGTGCTTTATGGGCTCTCTCCGACTAGCAGCCGCACCGTCCACTGAAAGCATCCAATTGCTGCCTCCCACGCAAGTGGGAGATGTGCATCTCTTGCGCCGTCTCCATGCAGGTTCGTCTGTCACATGCGTGATTTAACCACGTGACAATCACAGTGCGTCAAACGCGGTGACTTGGATGGCTGATGCCAGACGCCCCCAAATCAGTACACACAGTGTGAGCGTATGCATCGGAATATGTGTGTGGGGGTTTGTGTGGAGTGGTGGACTGGTGGGTTGAAAGCCAGACCGAAAAGGCTCTTTCTTAACCTGGCCTACGCCTTTATCCCGCATGCGAGATGCACGCCGCCTAACCACACCATGTTAAACTTTAGCGCATGTGTTTGTGGGACCAGTTCATGCACGTGGCGCGCGCAGACAAGGTTGCTCAATATGTCAGTCACGGCAAGGGAGAGTTACGTCGACGGCTCGGCGCATATTCCTTACATTAAACAATCTGATGCGCTTGAAGCTACCACGGCGCGCTAAAAGCCGTGGCTTGAAAGGTTGCTATTTCAGAGGATAACTTGGACCGAGTGTTCTGCATTTGTTTGGAACGGCCCTTGGCTTGTCTAAGAGTCAGGCTTCCATGGCCTCTTCTTAATGTGCCATTTATGGCAACCCCACTCCGTGTAATCCCAGCCGGGTATGTCGACACGCCTAGGTGCGACCCCACCGCGCCAGCCCCTTTTGTTGTTTTTAGTCTAGTAGCTCTAGGCCCAGTAAGACGACGGACAGCTGGAGCAGCGGTTGATAGCATTTGGTACCGTGACTCATGCTTCCAATGTCTGTCTTATTACTTGGTTGTTATCTCGGTCGACGATTTTGGCGTTCTTTGAAAGGTCCATGCTGCACATCTTCTGCTACCAGCTGGTGCTTATGCATCCTACCCCCTGCGTTTCCAATTTGCTCAGACGGCTATAATGTCATTTGCCGGTTTCCTCAATGTCGTTTGTGCTACGAGAACTGCGTTAGGCATGAAAGACAGCACTGGTCGTTTCGCCTTCCGACAGGAATTCATTGGATTTCATTAACAGACGCTTTATTGTCGGCTCGGATATGTGGGCGACGCCAATTCCAACTGGTTGTAAGAAAGAAGCGCCTGCGTCGGATACGTCTTCAATAGACGGCAGCTCTCACCAAATCTTCGAACCGATAACCTTGACTGTTTATAAACAACGGTGAAATATCCGTTGGGTGTGTACACCCACCGAAGACAACGGAGATCGGCTGTTATGTGGTCTTCGGAAAGTCTATTCTACTTCTTAGCGTGCGCTGGTAACTAGACCTGGGAGAAAATCGAAGGTTCAAAAAATATTCCTACAGAATATGTGCTTATTATAGATTTATCTATCTTACACCATCCCCACTTTTCTCAAACAAACAAACGTAGACTCGTGCTCTGATTAGATTACAACATTTTTAAATGAATGAGCTGTCTCGCCTGTGCTTTACGCTGGAGACATATTTAGTGTCTCACTAGACCGAAATAGCACACTTACACATATGAATGTTGATCAACACATTGTGATTGAAAGCGGCGTCCTTAATACCAACGGCACCAATCTTCCCTCATGCGAAATTTCCCTACTGCCGTGTGTCTTCTCACGTAGGGCAAGACACGAAAGATTTTTAGTCTTTGTTTCTTCTCACTGTCCGTCTTAGTGTGCCTTCGGTACAAGCATTTGTTCACAAAACTGCGCAGATATCCATTGGCAAGGAAGAGGCGCCCTTTCGGATTCTGTGCTGCAGTGTGTGTGGATGCGGCGAAAAAGCGTCCGGACACAACTGCGCTTATGCGACAGGAAGTGATTGCTGTTGTAATGACGAATTTTCTCCGTGTCTGTCGCCTTTCGAAAGACACCAGTCTGGAGGGTTCCGTCTTCCTGCCTCGAAACCTGGATGTCGAGGAAAGGGAGCACTCCGTTATTTTCTTCATCTATGGCAATTTGAATTTGTGGAAAAACAGAGTCCAATTCTCTTTTAAAGTTGTCTGTCGCGTCTCAGTGTAAGATGACAAAGTTGTCGTCTACGTAGCGCATCCAGAATTTCGGCTTGTATGTCTGGAAGACCCGAGTTTCCAGTTCCTGCAAGACCGCCTCAGCCAGGTAGCTGGAGATTTGGGACCCCATTGGGGCTCCTTGGATTTGCTCGTAAATTTGGCCGTTAAACGTGAAGTACGTGTGTAAACAGTAGTCCAGTAGTTCCATCGCGTGCCTCCTCTTAAAAGGTTTTCCTTCTTCGTCGTACCTTTTCTTCAGTAGGTCATCGACAGCTCTCATGGCCAATTCTTTAGGGATGGAGGTGAATAGAGAGACGACGTCAAAAGATACCATTATTTCGTCGGGGGCTATTGTGACGCATTTTAGTCTTTCCAGGAAGTGTGTTGACGATACATCTGTGTGTTCTGAGCCGTCCGTCAGCTTCTTCAAATGCTTGGTAAGCCATTTAGCCAGTCCGTATGTAGGCGTGCCTTTCAGCAACACAATGGGCCGTTGGGGAACATTTGGCTTGTGGATTTTTGGCAAACCATAAAGGTGCGCTAAGGCAGCATCTTGTGGCCTCATTTGTCTCCAATCCTTTTCTGATATTGCCTTTTCGTTCCTCATCTGGTTCAGGCTCTTGTTGATTTGGCCTACCAGTGCTTTCATGGGGTCGGAGTCGATGACTATATACGATTGGTTGTCATTTAGTAGTTGCTGCGCTTTGGCAACCTACTCCGACTTGTCTAGCACTACGGTTGCCCGCCCTTTGTCTGCTGGAACAATGACAATTTCTTCGTCCCTCTTTAGTTCCTTGATGGGCATTACCTCTGCAGGGGAATGGTTCGGTGAGATCTGCGGGATATGATGAGGGACGCGACTCGTTGGCGAATCGCGTTCTTTGAGTCCTTAGTGGTATCCTTTTTTGAGAGTGTCGCTTCTAGTGCAGCGATGAAGTCCACTGGCTTTGCGTCTCCTGCGTTGTAACTGGATTCATGTTGAAGCACTTTAACTTGGTGTAGTTCCGTGTAGTCCCTATGAAGCCAACTACGTCGGGGGTACTGGGAAAAGATTGCAGACCCGCATGGACGAGCACGCAAGAGCGGTGCGGTCGCGCTGGTTGCGGAACATTGCGCAGCTTTTGACCATGACTTCGCCTTCCAAGACGCCGAACTTTTGGGCCAAGGGAGCGATCAAACGGTCAGGGAGAAGCTCGAAGACTGGCACACCACAACTACTTCGATCAACCACTGCGTAACTTTGTCGGCCGCCTGCCAAGCCCTACGGCGAAATTCAATATGAAGGACTATCGACGAGGCGTCAGGCCAGAGACGGCAGCAGTCGAACCTAAACCCAGCGGGAACACAGACTGGCATAGATAGGAATCGGGAACCGACGAAATCAGGGGACAACCGGCGACGAACACAAACCCAGGAGACCGCCTTCTGGGTCCGAACACAGACAGACGCCAGCCCGTGGTGAGACCGCCCGACAGTGACAAGACCCCCCAGTCCGACGTCAACATTTGCAGGACAACCGCCATCAACACGCTTACGGTCAGATGTGAACGAGGCGGCGAGCCGAGATCCCACGACAATTACAGGAACCCCCAACCCGACGTCAATACTATCATGGTAACCACCGTCCACGCGGGTACGGGCGGGTACGGGCGGGTGCGAACAGGGCAGGAAGGCGAGATGCGCGGAGGGCAGAAAGCGGACAATGCAAATAAGAGCAATGGCCGCGGTGGCCCTGATGCCGCCCCCCTTTTCACACCCGAAAAAGGATGAGGAGGAACCGTTGCCGCCATGACAACAAATCGCCAAGCCTTGAGATGCATCGCGCAGGCAGTCAATGACACGCCAGCACGAAGACCAAAACCCTTAAATACTGTGACGTGCAGTAGGCAAACCACCTCCGATGATGGAAGTTTGTTTGTTTCCGAAACGTCAGGCAAATATACCTTAGGTTCCTGCGATCGCCTTATTTTATCATATATATATATTATTATTAGCAATATATATATATATATATATATATAAGAAAATGGGCATTCCATGGAACATAATTCGAGTAAAAATGAGTCCACAGGGAAATCGAACACAATTTATCTTGTAAATTTTCACGCAGGATCGCCGGGTCCATTAAATGGCGAAGAAAGGCCGAGAATTACCAGGGGACATTTATTTTGATGATCAATACACCAATCGGCTCATTGATCTAAACGTCGCGTACACTTATCTCATGGGAAAATGGAAAACGTGAAAGACAGACAAAACGTGACGTCAGCCCACAGCATCAACATATCCTAGGCACTGACAAAGCCATATCGATTTTTCGATCATAAAAATTCTTAACCGTTTTTCACACTTTCTACACGTTTAACGAAGACTTGAGGAACCAGCGTTGAAATTTCACGAAATGAATTTTGTTATCATACCCAAAGGATTTCTTTTGTCGAATCTATGAAAATATTTAAGGAAACACATTAAAACAAAAACTTCTAGGGGCAGGACCAATAAGGAACAAAAACAGTACGCAACCTACCACATGAAATGTTTGTAGATTAGAAAAGTCTACGTATGTTTAATGGCAAATTTAATTATTTTTAAAATAACCACAAATATATCTGCCGCAACAGGAGGCTGGCTTTTGAATAGGCTTATATTTCGAATGTCTATAAATCACGCACGACATTAAATAAATATTTGCTTAATATTTATCATTCGAATTAAAATTCCCAGGGCATTTTTTGTCCAAATATATCTTAAAGGAAACGTGTATATATTAGGTAGCAAAATACGTACTTTTCAAATTTTACCCAGAAAGACTATGATCAGAACACTTTTCTAAGACCATGGAATGTCCATCCACTGAGCATTGCAGTTTTGCGTTTTTATTGGTGATTTTGATATACGACGCATAATGCCCATCTAATGCAGCATTTTGTGAGCCCTATAGTGCGAATGCCTAATAGTCTAGCGGAAATCAAACAAAATTTAGTCTGTAAACTCAATGCGCAGGTGCAACTGCAGAACAGGGAGAATTATACAGAGCTTAAAACAACTTACAAAAACTAAGAGTATACTATCTTTTAGAATAAAATTGGGAAAAACGCGCAATTCGCCAACAAGTGTGCCCAGAGTATTATCTAAAAATATGCGAGAATTAAACAGCGTAAATAATTTCGGTGCGACAATTTATAATGATTGGGTCCTCTTAGCGGCCAGTGGTTTTTGTAGGTTACCGGTAAAAGTATCGCGACCTTTTTAAATAACAGATTATTATTCATTGCAACATTTAATCCCATTACCCAAGTTTTGCAGCCTTTTAAATAGCAAACCCATTTCCGAATTTTAGTCGACATTCCATGGGACAGAACAATTACTGCAGTTTGCATTCTAGCATTTGTCACATGGTGAGTCCAAGGACTATTAATCTGTTTAACTTGATTACTGTCTAGTAGACAGCCGTGAAATGATTGCGGCATGATGTTTGAGGACTCCGTAAAATCTATTTTAAGAATCGGTGGCCTGCATATCCGAACATAAACAACAGCAAATAAATGTGTCGCCTTTGACTTGGTAACAGGTTTTTAGATGGGTCCACCATAAAATGCATAAGAAATTTATTTAGCGATTCATGTGTCCGTGATTTAAATGGCACAAACCTGGGCAAAAAATACAAAATCTGATCTATTGGAAAGTACATCAACTTAGTTACGGAACAGATTCAACTACAGTCGTTGTCAGACAATGGTCTCCCTCCTTCTGGAGAACCTGCGCATTAATCAAGCTCCCACATCAATACAATCTTACAAATCGTTAGATTGTTTACCACAGCAAAAACTGTGTGACATACCGATTATAGTTCGTAAGTGTTTCATCGATTAACACTACCACAGAGTCAATCGCCTTGTGCTTAAGTTCACAAATTGCATAGCCAGCATACCAACGAAACGAGTTTTACGTAAGATCTGACTGAAGATAACGGGTAGATGTCGCAATGTTTAATAAGGTCATGCTTGCAAATTAAAGATGATTGTGTTTTAAATGACCTTTGCCTAAATCTAGAATGGCCATTAAAAACACTGACATTGAGGCAAGAGCTTAATATGTCCAAACACGAACAGGCGACTTTACACCACTTGTTCCAGACAGATCTTAAAAAGTAAAAATGCAAGTGTATCTTGATACTCTGCAAGTCGGGGATTTACATTTACGGCCTTTCGCTTGTACTTTTAGAAAAAAGTCAGTTTGCCTAATTCTGTTTTAGCCGCAAATTCCAGTTTTTAAAGATGGCGATATCCGACGGGCCACAGCACGAATGTCAGGTAACTAAATTTGAGTTTGCGAATTTGGAAAAATGTGTGTTTAACATCGTTCTCCATCGTTGTTTGTTTTATCAGCTTCGCATGTATTTAAAGGTTAAGGTAATACATACGGGGCTCCCCCAAATATTACAGCCTTTGTTTTAAATTAAACATATTCTTGACCATTTCTTTCGTCGCTGTTGTCTTGTCAGCTGCAAGTCTTTAATAAATCGCATAATCTCCTTAAGAAGAAGACATAATTTTGAGTCACCTACTTCAGATTTTATCCAGAAACCCTAAAATAAACTTTGCGTACTCAACTTGATGCCCATTTGGAAAATCCTTATTTCTAGGCAGCGTAGATCCTTCGACGCAGTAAATATTAAAATATCAAATTCCTATTTATTATGCTGACGTGATGCGACGCATTGACGCCTCTGTACTCTAAATAATAAAGACAGCCTCTTGAAAAGATCTAGTAATAATCATAAACAATGTACGGTGTCCGTAGTTAGTGAAGTGGGAAGAATTGTTCAGTCCTAAAAAGCAGAAATATAAGTTAATTGTTATCTGTAAAAATTTAAAGTCTCATTAGTGGACGTATTTGAAAAGGGCTTACAGTTACATGTTTAAATTTATATAGCGTTAACAAAGAAAGAGGAATTTTGTTTAGAGAGCATTGTTGCTTTTAAAATCTAGGCATTTGGATATAGCAAAGAATGGCTTATAAAACAAACCTCTAGTGGGTCGTATTCTGATCTGCAACGTATTTAATTGGAGAAAAATTAAGACTCCGCAAAGGGAGACCGGAATAAGCAAAAACATTAAGTAAACACCAGTGTGCACTGACTGCGTGCAATAAGGGCAAGGAAAGGCTGTGACGTCCAAGTACTTTAAACGAACCCCAGAAATAAAAATACAAAAAATGGACCGGTCCTCACCTCAAATCGAAGGCGTCTGTATTCCATTCACTAAAAAATAGTTTCGCACAACGCTCATTAGTATTGTAAAGGAAAAGTGCTATATATTTTAACTCTCATGCGGTCTACTTATCCTTCTTAATAACATTTTTACTGTAGAAAATGTAAAAAGCCTGCCATTATCGACAGAAAATAAAGAAAGGCTGCAAACTTCAAATGTTATAAATTTCAATAGACCGCTCACTTTTTACTTCTTCGGCTGATACCTACGATGACTAAAATGATGAGGAGGAGGACGATCAGAATTGCTATAACTACGCCTGCAATCTCACCAGCATTGAGGTTGTTTGAATCTAGAAAAGAGTAGGGGGTTATTAAGAGATACGTCTTTATATGCAAATAATAGAGATGAATAACATTACAACATCAATTAGGTCAGTTAATTTTAACAAACATTTTACATTTTCTGCTGTAACATAGAGGCTCAAGAATTAAATGTCAAAAACAATTATCAAAGCCCGCTTTTGATGTATACTGTATATGCATGGAGGTTCTAAATTGTTAATGTCACAGAGATCGTACACGGAGCAATAATTATTCCTGATGAGGAAATACTGTACGGAGTACATTCCAAACCGGGAGGTGGTAATTTATTATATAGCATTTACAGTAAACGCAAAACAGATCCTTTGGGACAGAGTGAAATACGCAGATATATATGCAGAAAAGCATTAAGGGACAAGTAAGAGCCGTAACAGAAACTTAAGCGGAAGTTATCCCACATTACGAAAGCAACCACCCTATGGCTCACAACTGGAGTGCTGTTAACACCCTACTTAATCGAGCAAAGACACATTGCTCTGAGAACGAAGGGTATAAAGAAGAACTCAATTATCTGTTCAACCTATTCTCCCAAAATGGCTCCCCTAGAGATTTTGTACGCCCATGCATGAAACAGCAGGAATCAAAACAATGAGAGAAGGAACCAGATTGTTCCGTTCAGACGCCAAAACTAAAACATTGGCGAACACTTCCCTACATTAAAAATGTGTCTGAACTCGTTAAAAGACACCTGAGGTAGCACCAAATACAAGTGGCTCACAAACCGACTACAACGCTACGCAATCAGCTCGTACACCCTAAGAATAGCGTTGGCCATTTCAATCAAAAAAGAAGTAGTTTATAAGAATGCACGTGGCACTTGTAATGCAGTGTATTGTGGTCAAACCGGAAAATCCGCCTCTACACACACTTATCCCAAGTCGCCATGCATACTTTTGAAACTGGACACAAATTCGCTTGGGATATAAAACGCATTGTCGGTTCCTGCCCACAGAAGAAAGGCCGAGAATTCCTAGAGGCTTTTTACTCTGATGATTCATGCATCAATCGATACATCGATCTTGACGCCATTTACACAAATCTCACGGAAAAATGGAAAAGGTAATAGCCAATCAAGACGTGACATCAGCCCACAGCATCAACGCATTCTCAGCCCTGACAAAGCAATATCGATTTTTTGGGCGTGTTTAAATTTTGACTGTTTCTTCACACTTACTACACGTCTGAAGACCAGCTGGGCATCCAGACTCGAAAATTTACGAAATAAAGTTTGTTCATTTTCCAAAAGGACTCATTCTTCCGAACGTGCTTCTTTCGATGTGCCTTTAGGCCGATACTAGAACACTCACAGGCACACGCACAGTGACTACTAGTCTAAGTAAATGAAATACTACCGACAAAGACAAAGCAGACCCGAATGGTCATTTCTGGCCTATTAGCCGTAATTATAATTAAATCCAAGTGCGGATTGATTGAGAGTTGAAACAACGATATTTCGTCCCGAAGTCTGACTATCTATCACTGAACCACGGGCGCGGTGCCCGGTCGGTTGTGATCGGGAATACCTATTCTAGCAGATGAGCTCCTCAATTAGGTTTAACGAACCTGCTCTAAACGTTGTATTTTCGGGGTCATATATATACTGCAATATAAAATTTCGAACAAACATAATAAGCATTAAAATGAACGTTATTGGAAACTGAAAAAATGTCGGATCTGGTCCCCACGCTCGTCGTCAGATGTGTAGCAAGTGTGAAACACGGTTTAAATGTAAACATGCCAGAAAATTTGATATTGATTTATAAATATATATAGTATATATTTAGAAAGGTGAATTTTTTTGGGAAACAGCAAAATTTTATTGTGAATTTTCGAGACTGGTTCCCCAGCTCGTCTTCAGACAACGGGCGTGCAAAAACAATTAACTTTTAGACTGAGTCTAGCAAAAGGTGTGCATGATTGGTTAATGTTGTCATCTCGGGATTGGCTGACTCAGTTTGAATCTGTCCTTAATGATTTTGTATGCGGCATCTAAATCGATATGCCGGTTGATGCACGCCTTATCTGAGTGCATTGCCTCCAGGACTTCGCGGCCTTTTCTTGTTAGGCAGGCGCCAACAATTCGAGTGTTCTCCCATGCGAATTTATGCCCAGTGTCTAGTGTGTGCATGGCCACCTGGGATAGATGGTCGCGTCTCTTCACCGCTAACTGATGCTCATGTATACGGGTTGAGAGAGATTTCTCAGTTTGTCCACAATAAACGGCATCACAACTAGAACACGGGATTTTGTAGACGACACCTTTTCTTTCGAGGTAGCCGACGCTGTCTCACTCGTTCCGTTGTGCCTTAAGAGCTCTCTCTCGAGCCCAACCAGCAGCCGCACAGCGGCGCATGATACATAGGCAGAATATCATTCTGAATAGAGGCGTTGTCTTCTAAACCAACAGGTCGCGAGTTCGAGGCTCGGGTGTTCCACACTTCGGGCTTGGGTGTGGCTGGCTGACGACGGCTAATAAGCCAGAAATGGCCATTCCAGTCTCCCTTGTCTTTGTCAGTAATGTTATTCTGCCTATGTATCATGCACCGCTGTGCGGCTGCTGGTTGGGCTCGAGAGAGAGCTCTTAAGGCACAACGGAACGAGTGAGTTCCGTATGAACGATCGGTGAGCGCCCCCTACCACTGTATATTCCCGATCGAAAACCGACAAGGCAACGGGCTCGTGGCCCGGTGAGTAGAGGCGTTGACTTCTAAACCAACAGGTCGCGAGTTTGAGGCTCGGGTGTTCCACACTTCGGGCTTGGGTGTGGCTGGCTGACGACGGCTAATAAGCCAGAAATGGCCATTCCAGTCTCCCTTGTCTTTGTCGGTAATGTTATTCTGCCTATATATATATATATATATGTATTGCTGACAGAAGCTAAGATGCGCGTCCCCAGACATAAAAGAGAAGAAAAGACGATCTCGGGAACCATAGTTGTATTGCCCTGACGTTTCTAAAGCAAACAAGCTTTCATCATCGGAGGTGAGTGTTCTACCACGACTCACAGTATATATAGATGTTGATAGTCTCCTTTCAGTGGGTTAATATCTCGTCGGTGGCCAGCGTTTGGGTGCTGGCCGTCATTGCACGTGTTCGAACGGACCTTATTTCATGTCTTAGTCTGGCAATCTTCTTTACGAACCCGTTTTCCATAAAGAGGCGTTGTAGGTAGCGTAGTTTCGACCTTTGGACTTCTGGCTCGCTGTAGTGTGTATCTGCGCTTTTGTATAGTGTGCGTACACAGCGCCGTTTATGGGACAACGGGTGCATGCTGTGGTAGCTCAGGATTTGGCGCGTATTGGCGGTTTTCGTATACACCATTGTTTTCAGATGTCCATATGGTTTCCGGTGAACTAGTACGTCGATGAACGGTAGTTCGACCTGCTTTCGGCCTCCATCGTGAACTGAATATCAGGCGACACTGAACTCAGTACATTGTGAAATGTTTCAGCCATTTCGCCCTTGATGAGGACAAGGGTATCACCGACAAATCGGGTCCAAAATTTTGGCCTGTAGGTCTCGAAGACTTCGGTCTCTACCCTTTGGAGGACTACTTTTGCGATGAAGCCTGAAAGCAGTGATCCCATCGGCGTCCCCTTGTTCTGTGCGTACGCCCTCCCTACGAAGGAAAAGAAAGTCTTCAGGCAGAATTTCAGCTGTTGAATGTGATGCGTCCGTTTTACAATTTTGTCTGTCTCTTCGTACTTGCATTCGAGCAGTTCGCTAAGCGTTTGGACTGCTAGGCATTGCGGGATCGAAGTGAAGAGAGCGGTGACATCGAATGACACCATGACCTCGTTTTCGCTCAGTCGGATGCCTTTGAGCCGTTCTAAGAACTGAGCCGCTGAACAGACGGTCGTGGCTGCGTTCGAGGTGAGAGACCTCAGTTTGCGGAATAGCCATTTTGCCAGGTTATATGTAGGTGTGTCACGCAATGAAACGTTTGGTCGGAGAGGGAGACCGGGTTTGTGTACCTTCGGTAGGCCAAAGAAAAGTGCTGGGGCTGCATCTGTTGGCTTAATGGTCAGCCGTACCGATTTGCTTATTGCTTTGTTTGATTGCATGTCTGCGAGCGTTTTCTCTAGTTGCGTCACTAACGTTTTTATCGATTCCTCACCACACGGGACGTACGCCTGTCGGTTCTCCAGCAGAGCGTTGGCCTTCTGAACGTAGTCAGTCTTATCCAGCACTACCGTGGAACGTCCTTTGCCTGACGGTAGTATTACAATGCTGGTGTCATTCCTGAGTGCCTTGAAATCGGTCTGCTCCGCTTTGGTAATAATTGCACGTGGCTTGTGCGCCATCACCAAGCAGGTAGCTTGTTGCCGGATGAGATGTGTTTTCTCGTCCGGTTCTCCGGTTTGCTTAAGGATCGACTCGACCGTGGCCACGAGATTGACCGCATCGGCGTCAGCGGCGTTGAAGCAAGCTTCATGACTTAGCACTTTCAAATGTGAAGGAGTCACCTACTTAGAGGACATATTGTGGACAACGATTTCGTCTTCTCCCCGAGATGAATGGCTTATACTTCGAAGCTTAGCGGCCAGCTCATCATCTCTTTGTGCCCGCAGCTCTCTTGCTCGTTTATCAATGATTTGTTGTAATAGCGTGACGCAGTCTTCGCCGATGACGTCAGTGCACTTTGCTACCTCATCACAGACGAATGATTCGGGCAATCCTCCAAGACTGCCAACTTCGATTACGCAAACACAAAGGGGTTTTACTCCTAGAGGTCGAAAAGTGCACCGACGTCATCAGCGAAGACGGCGTCACGCTATTACAACAAATCATCGATAAACGAGCTAGAGAGCTGCGGGCACAAAGAGATATTTTCAGTTAACAATGGAGGTCGAAAGCAACGACGAACTACCGTTCCTCGACGTACTAGTTCAGCGGAAACAATATGGGCACCTGCAAACAACGGTGTATAGGAAGGCCGTCAATAAGCGCCAAATCCTGAGCTACCGCAGCAAGCACCCGTTGTCCCACAAACGCAGCTGTGTACGCATACTATACAAAGGGGCAGATACACAATACAGCGAGCCAGACGACAAAAGGTGGAAAACCTCCAAGATCTCAGCCCCAAAGTGTGGCTTCGCTATGTAGACGATACCTTTGTCGTGATAAAGAACTGCGAAGTTGAACGGCTGCATCAGAGGCTGAATGACGTCTTCCCGGCCATACAGTTTACTCGTGAAGAGGCAATAGGGGACAGCCTGCCGTTTCTTGATGTGAAAATACAAAGGCTGAGCGATGGTAATCTCGCGACGAGCGTCCAAAGGAAAGGATCTAATTCCGAAATTATCCTCAATTATTGAAGCAACCACCCCGCAGCTCACAAAAGGAGCTGCGTTCGAACTCTGTTCCACCGGGCCTATCGTTATTGCAACAGCGACGATCTCCTTAAGAAAGAGCTTGCCTACTTGTATCGGTTGTTTCGATCCAACGGATATCTGACAAGTTTCGTAAAGAACTGCCTCAGACACCAGGCACAACCGCAGGCTCCCACCCTCAACGGGGAAACTATGTCTCGACAATTCTTCTCCCTGCCTTATATGCAAGGAGCGTCCGAAGTAATTGCCCGGCAGTTAAATCGCTCTGGTATTCGCATCGCCCACAAACCAGCATCCTCCCTACGCGCGGCGCTATCTCGAATCACGGATCCCCTCCCCAAAGAGCAACAAACAAACGTAATTTATCGCATCCCCTGCTCAAATTGCTCTTGCGTGTATGTTGGTCATACAGGTCGAAGCCTGGGCACCCGTATTAATGAACACAAACTGGCTGTCCGTCGGCGAGACCCTCTGTCCCTCGTCTTTGCTCACGCACTCGAGTGCGACCACCGATTCAATTGGGATGGCACTGAGGTCGTCGCCACGGCTAACACAAAACGGGCGAGAGAATTTCTCGAGGCTTGGTAGTCCGATGCTGGTAGTATCAACCGCCATGTTGATCTGGACGCCCATTCTGAGGGCCTACGCTCACGACTTACTGCCCCCCGCCCTAATGCCACAGCAACGGCCGCCAATTTAGCCACACGGAGTCCAATTGATCCACCATTACACCCTCCCCCTCCAGCACAGGCATCCATAATTGTTCCACCTCCCCCCTCGCTCAGAGACCTACCATGACTTTGTGATCATCCCTCTCATAGGCCGATAGTCTGTCTGCCCTGTCGCGCTAATTAGTCCAGTGTGACAAACTTTCTCCCCTGATTTCATTTCGTCTGACGACGGGTTGGTGTCACCAGCTCGAAAATTCACGAGTTCAACTCGATTTTTCCGAAGAACCTCTTCCTGTTTTCATTATATCGACTCGGAATGCATAACACCTCTGATCTACACACACATATATATATTGATATGAGTATCGATATGAATATTGATATGCGATATATGAACGCGATATATATATATATATATATATATATATATTATGATAGTGGGCGCTCACCGATCAGGTTACGGAACATGTTCGTTCCGTTGTGCCTTGGGGCTCATACTTAAACCCTCGCAGGCAGTCGCACAGCGACTAGTGATATATGTTGGAAAGGTAATACCGACAAAGACAAGGGAGACCGGAATGGCCATTTCTGGCTTATTAGCCGTCATCAGCCAGTCATACCCAACCCCAAGTGTGGATCACTTGAGATTCGAACCCGGGATCTTTGGTCATGGAGTTGAACGCTCTACCATTGAGCCACGGGCCCGTTGTCCTGTCGGTTGTGATCGGGAATATTCATTATGATAGTGGGCGCTCACTATCATAATGAATATTCCCGATCACAACCGACAGGACAACGGGCCCGTGGCTCAATGGTAGAGCGTTCAACTCCATGACCAAAGATCCCGGGTTCGAATCTCAAGTGATCCACACTTGGGGTTGGGTATGACTGGCTGATGACGGCTAATAAGCCAGAAATGGCCATTCCGGTCTCCCTTGTCTTTGTCGGTATTACCTTTCCAACATATATATATATATATATATACATGTATCGCACGTGCGTCTGGCCTTCCGAAGGTTCACAAGACAGATGCGCCGCTGAGGATCATTGTGCCACTTATTGGATCCCCTACATACAACCTTGTCAAGTGGTTATACAGACACTTAAATCACCTCGCAAATGGATCGCAATACAGCATCAACAATTCTCAGGCTTTCCTACAAAAGATCCAAGGCCTTGAGGTAAGTCCTGACGAATGCATCCTATCGTTCGATGTTGCTGCCCTGTTTTCTTCAATACCGCATGACCTAGCGACTGACAGCGTAGCCCGATGTCTAGAGCAAAGTCCCATTGGCATTCCAACAGAACATGTTCTAGACATGCTTAAGCTTTGCCTCAAGAACTATTGTCAGTTCGATGGCAAGTACTATCAACAAGTAAAGGCCACCCCAATGGGCTCCCCAATATCGGGGCTGCTTGCAGAACTAGTCTTGCAGCGACTATAACAGGATGTTGTGCACACCTTCGAACCAAAAATGTGGCTCCGCTACGTGAACGACACATTTGTCATCATAAAGACCAGGGAAGTTGAACGATTGCATCAGAGCTTAAATAGCGTCTTCATAGCTATACAGTTCACCCGCGAGGAAGCAACAGGAGATACCCTCCCGTTCTTAGATGTGAGCATACAAAGACTCCGTGATGGCAAACTAGCGACAAGCGTCCACAGAAAAGACTCTAGTGCCGAAATCATACTTAACTATGGGAGCAATCATCCTGCGGCCCATAAACGAAGCTGTGTCCGCACTCTTTTCCATCGGGCCTATCGCACCTGCAACAGTGATGACTCACTTAAGAAAGAATTGGCCTACTTACATCGGTTGTTCCGCTCCAACGGATATCGTGCCAGTTTCGTAAAGAACTGTCTCAGACGCCAGAGGCAACTACCAAACCTCGAGTCTCATGAAGATAGAGCGTCGCAGAAATTCTATTCACTGCCGTACATTCAGGGACTCTCTGAAGAACTTTCCCGGCAACTAAAACGCTTTGGCATCTCCATTGCCCATAAGCCCGCATCTTCCCTACGCGAGACATTATGCCGAGTAAAGGACCCAGTGCCCAAAGAACAATTAACTAACGTCATCTACCGCATACCGTGCGCCAACTGCCCTTGTGTTTATATTGGCCATACAGGCCGATGTCTTGGGACTCGCATTAACGAACACAAGTTAGCCCTCCGCCGGCGTGACCCTCTGTCCCTCGTGTTTGCACACGCCATTGCGCATGACCATCACTTCAATTGGGACGGCACTGAAGTGATCGCAAAGGCTAACACCAGACAGGCGCGAGAATTCCTCGAAGCTTGGCATTCTGGCACGACCAGCATCAACCGCCACGTCGATCTAGACGCTCATTATGAGAGCCTACGTACACGCTAACTGTCTTGTTCCCACACCTCAACATTTTCTAACCCCCACTCGGCCACATAGACGTATACTGTTTCGCCATTCCGCTCCCATTTGCGACAAGGGTAACAACAACCTAAACACCCCTAACACCTCCAACGCCGGCGCATTGCCCCCCGACCTCATCCCGCATCAGTGACCAGCCGCACGCATTCCCACTGACTCGCAATCCCCACCCCCCGCGTTTTCACCGCCTCCAGCACTGGGAGCCCTAATTGTTCTTCCTTCCCTCCCCCTGCCCCACAGCCTACCACAACTAGGTGCCCACCCCTCTCACACATCAGCTGTCTGTTTTTCGTTGTCTGTCCTGTCGCGCAAGCTGACCTAGTCTGCCGACTTCACTTTCCCTCTGTTCATTTCGCCTGACGACGGGTCGGTGTCACCGACTTGAAAATTTTTGAGTACAACTCAATTTTCCGAAGAGCCTTCAATTTCTAATTATATCACCTCGGAATGCACACCACATCAGTTATTCATATATATATATATATATATATATTTATATATATATGCAGAATGCTATTACCGACAAAGACAAGGGAGACTGGAATGGCTATTTCTGGCTATTTAACTGTCGTCAGCCAGCCATACCCAAGCCCGAAGTGTGCTATACCCGAGCCTCGAACTCGCGACCTGTTGGTTTAGAAGTCCACGCCTCTACCCACTGGGCCACGAGCCCGTTGCCCTGTCGGTTTTCGATCGGGAAAATACAATGGTAGGGGACGCTCACCGATCCTTCATACGGAACTCACTCGTTCCGTTCTTTATTAAGGACTCTCTCTTGGGCTCAACCAGCTGCCGCACAGTGGCGCATGATATATAGGCAGAATAGTATTACCGACAAAGACAAGGGAGACTGGAATGGCCATTTCTGGCTTATTAGCCGTCGTCAGCCAGCCATACCCAAACCCGAAGTGTGGTACGCCCGCGCCTCGAACTCGCGACGTTACTGAGATCGGTGAGCGCCCCCTACCATTGTATTTTTCCGATCGAAAACCTACAGGGCCACGGGCTCGTGGCCATGTGGGTAGAGGCGTAGACTTCTAAACCAGCATGTCACGAGTTCGAGGCTCGTGGGTTCCACACTTCGGGCTCGGGTATGGCTGACTGACGAAGGCTAATAAGCCAGAAATGACCATTCAATTCTCCCTTGTCTTTTTCGGTAATACGATTCTGCTTATATATCATGCGCCGCTGTGCGGCTGCTGGTTGGGCTCGAGAGAGAGCCCTTAAGGCACAATGGAACGAGTGAGTTCCGTATGAACGCTCAATTAGCGCCCCATAACATTGTATATTCCCAATCGACAACCGACAGGGCAACGGTCTCGTGATCCGGTGGGTAGAGGTGTGGACTTCTAAACCAACAGGTCGCGAGTTCGAGGTTCGGATGTTCCACATTTCGGGTTTGATTATGGCTGGCTGTCGACGGCCAATAAGCCAGAAATGTCCATTCCAGTCTCCCTTGTCTTTGTCGGTAATAGCATTCTGCCTATATGTCATGCGCCGCTATGCGGCTGCTGGTTGGGCTCGAGAGAGCGCCCTAAATGCAAAACGGAACGAGTGTGTTCATCATGAGCACTTGGTGATCGCCCCATGTCATTATATATATATATATATCGAACGTATTATAACTTATTAGTATGTCGAGTTAATACACGAGAAACCACATAGATAACGTTGATTTTTACTGAACAGACGAGCCCCTTACAAGTTTGTCACGCATTGGTAGAATATTAGCATAACCCGAGTCTGCGCTTTTAGTTAGTGCCTATGTAGTGAGTAAAGTATAACAATTCGATGTGCACATTTCGTACTTTTCTTCTTACTTCATCTTTGTAGAATGTGCATTATGTGGCTATTCCACAACAGTCGATTATCTCCGATTTAAATGTTCATTGACATTTCTGTTTTGACTCTAAAGGTCATGCCCCGGAGAATTAACTCCATGTCGGGCACTGAGTAATTTCTGAAATTATTCGTTTGACAGATATATATATATGCCATTGTTCACAAGCAACGACTTATGTCAACACGTCAAGTAAGCTTGTAAATATCAATGTTGCAATTACCATCTAACTCGGTAATAATATATGCAGTGATAAAATTGGCAAGAGCGACGACGCTGCGTGATCATAAACTAAGTAGGGAGGCAGTAAATATACACGAGTCGTTTACCAGTCATTGACTGACAATCTTCAGTGCAGATTCTACCACACCAACTGAGAGCAGTGTACATTTCGAATTCTGAAAATGTCAAGCATATCACCTCTGACTCATACTGTATCCAGGCACGCTAAAGAACATAAAGCCAGCCGGCGGGAAAATGTTCAACCTGCTTCAACACCAATTAAAATCTCCCTCCAGATTATGCGTTGCATCTAGACAAGGGCACTGACCATCTTACACCCGATCAAGATGGTCATAAGCTCAACTATCAAGTCGAAAAATCAATGCGCCATAATAATCTGGTTTTAACGCCCTGATCAAATTCCTATGGCGAGGCTTCCATTACCACTTCGGGAACGAAACATGAGCGAAACGACCCCTTGCAGATTCA